TTATATTAAAAATTACAAACCTTAGTGGTTTATATAGTGTCATCTAAATAATAACATTGTATACAATTGTTTCGATTACTAACTAAATAAAAAAAAACTCATATGAATACTTTAATATACTAGAATAAATTATAAAATATTGTCATATTGAAGAGCTCGAAGGCTTTTGGGTATTATTTAGTTAGCGTGTTCGATAGATGTGGTAGTTAAACAACTTTCACAATATCTCAAATCTTTCCGAACTTTGGACGTTAAGCAGTTAATTTCACTAAATGTTAAAACAGAAATTAATAAAATTTCGTTTACTTCATTATGTTAACACATATTTTGCTTACGAGTTATATTTTTCCTCAACGTAGTACGAGTTTTCGGAAACTATCAACGTTACCTCATGTTTCTATATATTTCACAGTTGCACATCTAGCAGAAAATATATTTAATTCAAAATCGGCAGTACAAGCCAAATTAGTTTGAATAATTCGATAAGACATTAAGCCTCTACTACACACTTGTCGTGACTACGCAATTCCACACAGTTTCGGTATGCTCACAAGCATGTAAACTATTTAAAGAGTTTTAAAGAGTGTTTAAGAGAAAGTACAGTTTTTAAAGACAAACTCGTACTAGAGGTACAGCACAGCGGCCGCCTAACTCTTCTAGCTATAAATCTAGCCAAAGGATACGAAATTTTAGCGACGTTATAAAAAAAACAATGAAAAATGTTTTTATTTTTTAGTGTAATTTAGTGTTAGTGTTATAGTATAATTTCGTTTCATTTTAGTAGGTACTTTAATATGTACTTTAATATCGAAGCGCGAATGATAAAGAATGATGAATATTTATTTGACAGCAGTGTTACCAACAAAGAAATGTCAAAGAAATAAAATGAAACGAAATATCGTGATAATATTTGCTAAGATGTCGTATCGCTAGAGAGTTAGACGCATTATTACCATAGCACTTGTGTTGTTACATCAATCTTTTGGCGAAGGTTCCGCATTGTGGTCCGTAATACAATTACCAGGGGTACAACAACGAGCAAATCGCACCAAATATACGCGTGCGTAGGCGTCACTTTCGTAACCTTCGAATGTGGGAAATTACCGTTTGTCAAAAAATATTATTTTAAATTGCTACATTTTATACGTTGAAATGAAAAATACTTGTTTAAAAAACTGATATTATAAAAAGTAAAGATTTTATCGTCTGTTTGTTTTGTTAACATCGCGTAGGTTCCGAAACTATTGCGTCGGAACCTATACGACATTTTAAAAATTCTTTCACCTTTGGAAAATTACATCATAAACGAGTGACTAAGGTTATAAGACCTCCGTAGCCGAGTGGTTCGCACGCCGGTTTCAAGGTGTCGCCATCTCTGAGGTCCCGGGTTCGATTCCCGGTCGGGTCAATGTATAAAAAGAAGTTTTCTATATTGACTCGGGTCTGGGTGTTGTGGTACCTTCGTTGTCTCAGATACTCCATAATACGGGGGCTTTAGCTACTCATCTTGGAATCTGAGCAATGTATGTGATGTTTTTAAATATTTATTTATTTTTATTTATAAATTAGATACAAGATGGATGTCGTGGGAAAACCTCTAGCTTAAATATTAATAATAATTTTCACAATAATAAAACTCTGGTAAAGTATTTATTTCATATTTCAAACTCTTCCTACAAGTTTGTTCGCAATTTATTATAAATATAATTTATTGGTATTATTGATCTTCAGTCTTTTAGGATTAAACCAGATGGGTAGTGAAAGCTTCTACGTGTGGGTGGACGTACATCATTGGTGTAGCCCTAAAACTCGGTCAGTTAATAATTGCACCATTTTGTATACGTTTAGTATTGTAAACAATGCGTTCTAAATTTAATAGCTAAACTTTTTTTAATTTCAAATTTTACCGATTTTTTTTGCTATAAATAAAATTATCCGAATTCTTCATTTATTTTATTACTTTAACATGTTATGCAAATAGATCAAGTCATATGAGAAAAGAGATCAAAAATAAAAACTGATGATAATAATAAACTCTTTCATTTAGTATCTATTAAATTGTTATGTGAGAATACTTCGTAAATCATTTAATTACAGTTTTAAATAGGAACTTGATAGCTATATATAGATTGATAGATAGATAGGAGATAGAATATGGAAGTTTAGCAAAATTCGCAAGGGCCTTGTCCTAACTAACCTTCTATCTCATTATTTCTCTTTATCATTCTTTGGATGCTTATCACTAATGATGTTCATATCAATTAGGTTTGGGTTTTATTCCATCTATATACATTCTTCACTATGTCTATTCTATGGCTTTAAACCTTCGATCGTATACCTGTAATCATTAAAAACCTGTAATATAAATGTATCCAAACCTCTGCGAAGTTAATCCTACGTTTGTGCGTACTTACACTAAGGTAAACACTTACATGTAGCTGACATAGTTTTTCTTAATACTTTTTACAATTTCTTATGATAATACGCGATGCATTTAGCTAATTTTACCCAATTTATTGCAAATTTTAATTATTTTGAGATTACTGTCATAAAAGTTTTTCTTCGTTGTTATGGTTACATCTCTTTATGAAAACTGACTCACACTTTTTAATTTTTAGTAATTCAACCTCTATAGCTTTTGTAATTATAGGGTTCTAAATTGAAATTGTTCGCTTCCAAATTTGAATTCGTCTTCGGGTATATAAAGCCATGTTACCCATGTAGTTCTTGGATCACTTCTACGGCAACAGTTGTTAAAGTTAGCTTTTGGAGTTTGCCCTGAGTTATCTAAATTCATAAAAGGTCTATTTTTCTCTCTTCAAGTTACGGTATCAATGTCGTAAGACAATTTCCTGGCTTTATCCATAAACTCTATAACTAAATTACTCTACTATTACCAGCTTCAGTTCTACACCGTCAGCAATCTAATCCTGAAACCTTCTCTCCTAGAGGCCATCTTCATCTGGAAATCTAGAAGCCCGAGTTCCTGCTAAGTTTTGGGCTATAGAAGGCAGTGGCGGATTAACCACATCGGAGGCCCGGGGCGGCAATAGACCCGGATCAAAAACTTAGGGAAGGCCTTGCCTTGATTGAGTACAATCAATAAGCTGTTTAAATAAATAACACATTTTTCCAATTATTATATTATCGTTTACTAAATCAGCCTTTTTGGACAAGTTTTTTTTTGCAGTGAAATGCTAATTAATATTCCGTTAAAAATATCAAGTATACTCGTATTTGTGGAAACAAAAACTTAGTCAGCACGCCTAGAGCCGTAGCATTGAAATGCATGGTACACATGTCATGAAAAAGTTAGAATTACTGTAACAAATTTTGAATTTAATTTTTAAAATAAAAAAACTACGATTTTTTTTAATGTACATATGTAATAGATCATGAATTACATACACATCTTTCGAGAAGTAGGATCAAGCTTTTTTAATCTGTTAAAAATACGACGTCAGACAGAGCAGACGCAGCATTAGGTACTATCTAATAAAACCGACTTTACAAAGTTAAACAAATAGTTACAACATGAATTACAAGATATTAAATTTTTCGAAAATAGAATCCAAGTATACAGCGCCCTCGGCAAAACCCTGGAACTTTGCGCCCTCGGCAAAATCCTGGAACTTGGCGCCCTAGGCAAAACACTGGAACGATTCTCATGACAAATCACAACAAAACAAAAGACTTATATAAATAGATATGTGTACCGATTAAAGAATATAATGTTGCCAATGACGAAAGAAACTCTCAAGTACTGCTGATATCTGAAAATGTTGTACTATTGAATATCGCGGGCAAAGAACAAAGATATTATTTAAAGGTACTGCATTTTTAAGGTTCAAATAATTAGAGCAAATACTTATATAATCTGATTTGCCATGCCGTCCCCCAAATATGAGCGCCTATACGGTTGCCTAGTTTGCACTTTATGGGCGCGCCAGCGCTGCTAGTATGAGTTTAATCTTTAACAAGTCATAGCAGGAGTGAACATAAATAGTCACGTAGAGGCAATATCCCTGTAATTTGTTTCCGCCCTTATACAACTGTTTGTATCCCGTATTTTGTTTCGAGCGGTTTTTGCATATTTCTTCAGTTAATCAAGCGACTATGCAAGCTACTTGCACTGTTGACACAACGTCACGTAAGTATTTGTATACGAGTACTTAATTATAACTCTTGTTATATAGTATTAAGGTTCCTTTTAAGTATGTTTTTTGTTCCAGTATTGCATACCGTTTATTGCACCCACTTTGTTGCATTAAGTGCGGATGCGACGTAATGAGTTTGAAAATTGGACATGGCTACTAAATGAAAATTAGCTGACAAAAGCATTAGAATGTCTATAAATAACGCGGATATATATTTGACCACATTTAACATTTACTGATACAAATATAAGTCTTAGCTGCGCAAAGATGCAATTTATCTAATCAAGTCCCAGTTACATAATTTTTGATACGTCAATGAGTATAAGTACATAAAAATCTCAATAAAACACCTAAACCTATTTGGAGAACTACTGCGCACATAGGTAAAAAACTTCCATGTTTTGTGGTAGGTATATAAAAAAACCGACTTATAATATTTATGATACTTTGCTGTTGCAACTGTATTTGGTTTTATTTTGTATTACTTGATTTGTTATTTTTTTTATGCACAATCTGCCATCTAATGTTTGTTTTTTTTCCATCCAATGCAAGGTTGCCTGGAAGAAATCGCTGCCTAGCGATTAGGCCGCCTTTTGTACGTTTTCATGTATTCATTTATGTTTGTTTATGTAATTTTAATATGGTTTGTGCAATAAAGAGTATTTATTATTATTATTATTATCAATTCTGTATGTTAAAGCATATGTTTTTGAATCTTCCTTTATCTAAAAAGATTTTAAAAACGTATCTAAGTAGATTATTATGGAGTATCAGTTTTCTGATACTCCAATAATAATCTACTTAGATTGTTAGATTGTAAGGTAAATAAATATACGATCAATAATAATATACAACATTTATTCAAAGTCTTATGAAGTACCAACGAATCTTATTTCTAAATGTGACGAATGAGCTTTAAAAATGTCTTTGTCCCTTTCTTTTGCAATCGTCAGAGAATGAAGGATAAATCGCTTAAGTAAAGCAAATCCTTATCGATCAATCCACCATTTCCACCAGTAACGCGCCGCCCGCGCTTTTGGCTCTCTCCTCGCCCTGCCGATACGCATAGATAGCTGCGACTATGTGTGTGTACTATGAGTACTCTTTTATATTCACAAATTCTTGTTACTCCGGCGCCAGACATACGCACTTATTTCATCACATAAGTGTTCACACTTATGTGGCAAGGGTATTTGATATTTTGTCACATATTTGTGCGCTTATATTGTGTTTGAACAAAGAAGTGTCCATGCATGTATGTCTGGCACGGGCATTAGTTTTCTTGTCTTAATAAACTTCCAAGTACGTTGATCGACAGCTAATGTATGAATTTACTCACTGAACGACGACTAATTCTAGCTGGTGATATAGCACTTAATCTATTCTTTGACAAAGAAATCATCGGTAAGTGGTATATGGCTGAGCTGGTCGTAGGTGTATGCGTCGAAGAAACGCTGCGTGACGTTCATGGCATAATCTATGGCGTAGTCGAGTATGGGACCACCAAACTCGTTGGCAAACAGTTGCGAGTCTCGGTTCAAGACTTGAAGAAGATTAGCACCTGGAAAAAGGGGAAGAACTCATTTAAATGAAAAATATTACGAGCATTGCGTAGAATTTGCGGAAATATTTAAAGACTGCATCAATATGCAGTCAAAGAGTATTGAATTATCCAGGCATAATTTTGGTGGAGCAAATCCGGTGGCTGCGGTGGTGCAGGCAGCTCCACTACAATAAAATTCTGATTGAATATCTTGAGAATTAATAGTAACTTTTCTATCTCTATATACCAAATTGAATATTATATAGTCGATTTTCTTTAATTATTAATGACTTTTTACCCAAAAAAATGGAAATAAATTTTGTCTTTAAGATAGAGTCTCTTGAAATTGCCGTATTAACATATATGTTTAATGTGGTGATGATTCCTAGGCTAATTCGATAGTGTGTGGAAATGGGAGTTAATAAATGTAAAAGTAAAAATAAATGCCGATGCGATCGTTACGTTGAAAACTCCACTCTCTACCCGTGACTTGTTAAAATCCTCTCTAGTTGGTTCTTTCCAGAGTTGGTATCTCTACTTTTAGTGCTTGGTACTTCCGCATACCCTACAAGGGATGTGGCGGGAAGATCTAGTTTGGATATGTAATATTGTGCTTTCTACTACACTGCCTGAGCTGTCTCAACTTACTGATTTCCGGATTGCCTCTGATGAGGTTGGTGAGGTTCATCTTGAGGTCGGTGCCGTAGTCAGCCTTGTATTTGTACGAGTTTATCTTGTAGTGACCTTCGCCCTCTTTGTTACGAACAACCTTTTCTACCACCTCCAAGCGGATGTGTTGGTTCCCTGGAGAATTAATGTTATTATTTACTTGCACACCCGGTGTTAAAGGCGTCTCCATCTTTGAGATTCTCCGGGTTTGATTACTTGTCCAGATAATGTATAAAAATGAACTTGACTGAAGTGCAGAGCAGCTTTCATTGCATAATAATATTGTAAAGTTGAATATTGTCAGTATTTATGCTTTTGTAGGTCGGCAGTGCAGTTTTGATAGTATAAACGTTATCATAAACCCGATAGTTGACAGAGATAGAGGCATCGATAAATTCAATGAAAGTATTGAGTGTGCGAATAAGGAAACACTGACATATCTTAATCTTAGCTGAGCCCTCGGTATCAAGGTTGAAGAGCAGCAAGCGACCACGTAAGCTGTAAAGGCCGCGGATGGTGAAATTGCAGTTCATGTCAAATGTAAATACGCGTTTCTCACGACGTGACCTGCGGTAAAAACAGTTCATAGTCAAAATATTTTAGATGTGGAGAAAAATAGGCACAATAAACTCCAATACATTTAATACCAGGAACAATATTTAAAAAACACCATTAAGATATTGACTATGTGCATGACTTCTGCGACACCTAGCGTCCTCAACTTTGGCAGCTTTGACGCTTTGAAATTAAATGTGTTATTTTAAATAAGACATTAAAATCAACAACTATCTATTATATTATAAAATCACTAGGATACTGTGATGTGGGTGAACAGATAACTTTTATCATGCAATACCTAATTTTATAAATCGAGATAAAGTTACGTATTGATATGCCTCGTGATTTTATGTTGTTTTATCTTTATAGTATTATACGCGTGGATCGTTTCATATCCCGCAACTTCACTGCGAAAATTATTACGTCATCTACGTATGATGTAGCTCCCAGTCAGTGAATGAAGCTTAATGATTGGATCAGTATTTCCGAAAATAACCCTTCAAATAAACAAAGTTAGAAACTTTACCTCTCTATTATTATTATTGGTATAGATATGGGTATTTAGTATGAGAATATTGGCTTAGTCTCGTGTATCGAGCAAATATAAGCAACCATACGGATTAATATAAGTAATACACAATACAAAAAAGTGTACTTTTAAAAGCACACGACAAGGTGTTCATTAGCGGTTGAACGGAATAGTACAGTATAAAGTTGTTTGCAGTAGACAAAATAACTAGAGGTAAAAAGAGTTTCATCAGATAATGACAGACATATTTAATATGTAAGATTGTGCCCATTAGAACATGATAAGATACTCTGATCTAGGGTATTGCAATCGTAGCACTACACTTCGCCTGATATAATATATTATTATAATAATTGTTAGTAAATTCTACGAACAAACACGCCGTATGGACTGCGTTTTTTCCGAATGCATGTTTTGAAAAGGCCTACTAATAATATTATTCTTGACACTGCTTTAAATATTTTATAGGCAAATTTGATTTATTTGCATATCACGTAAATATGTTTGTCCATGATGGCGCCCCTTTTTTGGCAAAAATTTAACAAGACACCTATCTTTTAGATCTTTTTGAACAGTATTTGAACTGTCATTTTGTAATGACACCCATATAGAGATGTTCACGACCGCAAACGATTCGTTGGTTGCGTGTGCATCACGCGTGCGTTCTATCGAGGTCGACGATTGGGACGTGCAATTCTCACACCGGGCAGACCTTGACCGGTAATAGCTGCGTTTGATTGTCCAAAAAAAGGAGTGTATTATGTAAATTACACAGTTGTATTATGTCTTATCATAGCTTGACTAAAAAAACTCATTGCAGTCGGGGAACCGTTCATTGGAACATTTGTAATCTATTAGGTACATACCCTGCAATGACAATTTTGTTTAGTGTTTAATTTAATTGTCGTTTAAGTTAGTGCGGAAGAGTATACATTCTATGGTGAGAGTAATTAGCAAGTCAAATCTTACAAGCTATACTTCATTTATTCATTTACTTCTTGGGTTTCCATTGAACTGAATATTACACGTATATATGTATGTTGTAACTTGGATGATATTTCAATATTAAAATGAAATTGAACTGTTCCGACGATGGAGCTAAAATATACTGGGACTTTGGTCCAAAATAATTTCTCACGCTGATGACTCCAATATTTGATTTATATTTGCAATACTTTGACATATTTTTTTTACTTAATACGAGGGTCAAACTGAAAGTTCTTAGAACTGGCCACTTATAAACAATATAATAAAAAAATAATTCTAAAATTTGAAAATGTAACTCTTTGCCAATATTACTGAGTATATATTTCATTCATTTGTCATTTGTTTTACGATTTGGCGGCAAATTGAAAATTGTCTGTGTCACGTCATCATGAATTTAACACGAGAAAATTTTCGTGCAATGATTTTTTATGACTTTCGATGTCATTTAAGTCAACAAGAAAGTTATGATAGACTACGATTGGCCTTTCACGATGAAGCCCCATCTCGTGCGACTGTTTACAACTGGTTTAATGAGTTTAAACGTGGTCGCACTAATCTCACTGATGATTTACGTGAGGGACGGCCTTCTACGGCGACGACTGAAGATAACATCTGTGTTGTGCGGCGTATGATAGAGACTGACAAAAGAGTGACCTATCAACAGATTCGGACAAGCTTAGGCATCGGTATGAGTCAAGTGCACAAAATCCTCCACGAACATTTAGCGGTTAGGAAGCTTTGCGCCCGGTGGATACCTCATAATTTGACTGAGGCTCAAAAACTCCATCGTGTGGATTGGTGTCGTAAAATGATTGAAAGATTTAACGGAGGTGACTCAAATGCTGTGTTCGACATACTAACAGGTGACGAAAGCTGGATTTACTGTTATGATCACAGAACATAGAGAGACAATAGAAGTATAATGATATTGATTTAGTATGGGAACCGAGTGTCGCCTCTCCGCACACAAATACAGATTAGATGAAATGATCATTTTGTTCACTACATGAAAAGCTGCCACGCGATACGTTCGTGATAACATAAACAAAATCCCAAAAAGATACTAAGCTAAGAAATCACACGATTAAAAACAAACTCTAATTCAACGTGATAATAAATAATTTACTTTAACATGAATGTTGAACTGTCACGTGGCTGTATACGGGGATACCAGAAGGGAAATAATATTTTAAGATTATGCACATTTTAAAAAATTGGGGACATCATTTTATGTGCGAACTATTAAGATTAGATTTTGCTGTAACCAAGTGAATACTGAAAAATAACGCTTTTCCCTATATAACTTCTTTTAAAAAACGCAGTACAAAACCTAAGAAAACTTAATGATAAACTCTATCAAGTGTCTGTGGAGTAATATAATTAAGCGAGGGAAAGTGTAAAAAAAAACAAAAATTAAGAAACCAACAGAATTTTTGTATTAATTACATTAAGCCTAATTTGTAATTTTTTCTTACTGGTATCATTCCGATTGTGCATATTAGTGATGTGACATAATATTAGTTGATGAAATAAGAGGTTTAAATTTTGTTATGAAACAGTTAAATGTAATTCAGTTCGAGAATGTTTGATAGTAATTATTTAAAGCTTAATTCAAATAAAATGAAATACATAAAGTTTGCATTACCTAATGTGAGGCATATTAATACACTTATAAATGTAAATAGTGAAAAAGTTGAGTTGGTGAAATCGACAAAGTTCCTTGGTATTACACTAGATTCCCGACTGCAATGGGATCCTCATATTGATAATTTGTCAAGTAGACTGAGTTCTGCAGCATTTGCTGTTAAGAAAATTAGACTCTTGACAAACGTTGAAACGGCAGGATTGGTATATTTTAGTTATTTTCATAGTGTAATGACGTATAATCTATTGTTGTGGGGTTCTGCGGCTAGCATTCAAGATATTTTTATTCTACAAAAGAGAGCTGTCCACGCTATATATAATTTACGGTCTAGAGAATCTCTCAGAGAAATATTTAAAGAAATAAATATTTTGACTGTTGCCTCTCAATACATCAATGAAAATATTATCTACGCAAGAAAACATTACGATTTCTTCACAACAAAAAGTAGTGTTAATAATCTTAACACAAGAAATAAAAATAAACTTGCCATTCCAAGCTTCAGACTTCAGATAACCAGAGGATCATTTCTGTGTAAATGCATTGCTATGTTCAATAAAGTTCGTAGTTGACATACCCATAAATAAATTTAAAATTCATGTAATGAACATACTTATGAGTAAAGGCTATTATAAAGTTGATGATTATTTTAAGAATCGCAATGCATGGAATGAATAGCCATCGCTTTGTTCTATAAAGACTAATTATATGTTCAACCTATGTCCTACAGACTTTGAAAGTTGTATTTATTATTGTGATATGAAATGACATGATTTATGTAAATATCATTACTTATGATAAAGGGCTGGTAAGTTTCTTTCGCTTGTTCTTCTTGTCAGCTAAAAGACGTCCTGAACAAGTGGTAGGGGAAAAAAATTTTTTGGACGATTCAAAAGTGCTTGTAATAGCCTACTTGAATAAAGATATTTTCATTTCATTTCATAATAACTAATATGATCATTACAATAATAAATTGATCATAGCCATGTTTGTTTTACTTTATTATTCTAAGTTTTATAACTGTAATAATAATAGTACCTACATTTTTAATTGCAACGACTGGACAATAAGGAATCGCTGGTCAAGTATGAGTTTGAAAGCCGTGACAAAAAAGTTTGAAGACAGACACAAAAGCGATAAGTACGTACAAACGTCAATCTACATATAAAGTCACATCCGTTTGAGACATGCGTTTATAAACTTATGTGCAAATATGGAGCAACAAAAAAACTGATAAAAGCTGTTCTGTGAGCGGTTCTTTAAAGTGGCTATCTTAACTCGATTTCTATAATAATGGTTTCCGATTATGAATCAGCATAATAAAGTAAATTAAATTGACGCCTATAAATTAATTTTGTAAATTAAATTCACACCACCAACAATATTACGTTAGTTGAAAACATGATTTTTTGTTTGTATAGATAATATGTTGTTTTGAAATTCATTTGATAGGTTTAGGTCTAAAACGGATAGGACAAAATAAATTATGTAAACAGGGCAATCCGTTGTAAAGTTATTAGGGAAACTGAAATATAAGTAATGCAAAATAAGTGAAATCCAGTTTCACCAGTTTCTAATAAGACCTATTAGGCCAACACTCGTAGCTTTTCACGAAGTTTCGTTTGATTTATATATTGTTCATAAAACGTTGATATACTTCGTAACTTAGATATTTATAGCACTCAGTATTTTTTAATATTTATCTGCGTGTAAATAATTAACCGAATCTTCGTAAAAAAGTGCCTGGATAGTTCATTATTTCATCTGTTCAGTATCAATTCATCTTTTATTTTCTCTTTTAAACAGTAGTATTTATTTTTATATAATTATGGCATATACTTATCCATAACGTTGTTATGAAATGATGAAAGAAAAGCTCTAAATAAATTTGTTTTAGTTATCGATTACGATCCATATAATTAACAATACGATTCCGAGCAGCAGCAGCCTATCGGTACATTTCAGACAAATGGAGGCACAGCACTATTTTTTGCAAAAGTGCACAATATGATTTACATTGCTGTCTAGAAACGGGGTTAGAAACATTAATGTTGGTTTGAGCAAACAATGTATATTTTATTTGAAATTGTGTCAAATTATTACGTTTTTTATATTTTAGCACTAAAATTGTACTTACCAGTGAAAGGAAATGTTTGCATTAGTTAGATTGTATACTTTGTTTTGCTTTTTGCAAGTGATAATAGCACAAAACGGTATTTTTTATAGAAAAAATCAGTAAAATCACCACTCGACGATTGACGAACGACTGACAAACATAAAACCGAGGAAAGGGCGTCATATGAGTAAAAGCGCATATGCCAGCGACGCTTGCCCCGCCCACTTACTACTTCTATTCTCTCTCTATGTTCTGTGGTTATGATCCTAAAACCAAAAGACAATCTGCTCAGTGGGTGTTTCCTTTCGAGGAGTTGCCAACTAAAGTGAAGAGAGATCGAAGTGCGGGAAAAAAAATGGTGGCCTCGTTCTTTGGAAGGATAGGTCATTTTGCAACAATTGTGTTAGAGGATCAAAAAACAGTTTCTGCAGAATGGTACACTACCAATTGTTTGCCACTTGTCTTGGAAAAAGTTCGAGAGAAACGACCTCGCAGTAGGATCCTCCTTCACCACGACAACGCCTCGTCGCACACCGCCAAGCGAACGATCGACTATTTGGCGACATCAAACGTTGAATTACTGGGTCACCCGCCGTATAGCCCCGACCTCGCGCCTTGTGATTTTTATTTATTTCCAAAAATTAAAGAAAAACTTAAAGGAAAGCGGTTTATGAATGCTGAAGAAGCGGTGGCTGCGTATCGCGATGCCATTGAAGAGACCCCTAAGGACGAGTGGGCAAAGTGCTTTTCCCAGTGGTTCCATCGCATGCAGCGGTGTATTGACGTGAATGGACAATATTTTGAAAAGATATAATAAAACTAATAACTGGCTAATGTAATCAGTTTTTGATTTTCTAAGAACTTTCAGTTTGACCCTCGTATCATGCTTTAGGTTATTTACATAAAATAGGATGTTATGCTTAAATATTATTAAGGTTAAAAATTATGCGTAAATATAATAAGGGTAAACAAACTTATGCCATATTATATCATGTCTTAACATTTGACGTAAACAGATAGGGAAGAATTTTACCGTTCAGCACAAGCTATGGTCATATGGGTTATATGCAACGTTGTAAGCATCTGATTATTAAATGTTGATTGTCGTCAAATATTTGATTAAAAGAAGTGACAACTGCACATTTTTGCAGTAAAAATGTGGTAGGAATTTTTATATTATTACAATTTTCCTCAGAATTTTCCGATTTTTTCTCCGTAACATCCATCCTAGTGCCCTGATACAAGTATCAAAAGATTAGTCGAATTGGTCTAGTATTTCAGAATGCACTGTGCAACACATTTTTATGTAATGTGTATTCAGCCATATATGTAAGTTATGTTTATACTATAAAGGGTAAATTATACAGAAACGGAGTTATAACAAACGGTTACATACATTGTCTTGTATACCGATTACCGTGTCTATTGTTGTTTATGATTTAAAAAAGAACATAAAATGATAATTATCTTGGTATCATTTTATAATCTTTGAATTCATTGCAACATTAGATTGTATAACACGGGTATTAACTCGATAGATTTCGATAGTTAGGTTTTTCACCTATAGGTAGGTTAGGTTAGGTTATTAAAAGTTAATTGCAACATTGTTACTACACTCTATGAGGAATCATGAAGTCTTATTTTTTTCGTTGTCACTAAAGAAATAACCATATTTTTAAGCCTGTTTTTTTAGAAGTGAAATGAAAGATTTAGAAATACCAGAGTTACTGAGGTAACCAGTGACAGCTATCATCTATAATAAGCATAATTGAAAAAGCGGTTACGGTAGGTACTTGTTTCATAAATTATTCAATCATTTAAATATATGTCATGTGTTCTTCACATTTAGGGTTATAAATAATAGCCAATTCACAACATATCAGGGCATAAAGACAAATAATAGATTTTCAAACAAGATATTTCATAAAATTTAACAGAGGTTATAATAACCAACGATATATAATGAGGGACAAAAAGATTAGGCCACTTCTAATTTATTACAGCTTATTTTCTTGATTTTTGAAGAATTGATAAATAAGCAGTTGGTTCATTAAAATTGTACTTTATTTAAAAATTAACGCACTCTATAAAAAAATATTAAATGTTTTTATTTTGAAACAGAGTGACGACACCCGGTTTGGTAATAAAGATGGCTTAATTTTACTGTCCAACGATAGTCTTTTACATATGTGCGAATGAAATAAAATTAAAAAAAAAAGTCAAATTGTGCGAATATGAAACATTTGGCTATCTAATCAAATTAAGTATTAGTGTAATAAAATGGCTAAATATACAATTAAACGATTAATCTGACTATTTGGTTGACGAAAATAAACAAAACAAACACTATGTCTAGGACTACTCACGACACTTTATTCGGCACACATGTGCTGAGACCAACTAGCTTGGCATTATGGAACTGCATCTTTAAATTTCCTGGTAGCTCAATACTAATGTTCTTGTCTATGAACAGTGGGTCTAGGGTCGGGATGCCGGCCTCCGGGATACCTTTCACCATACCAGGAATGGCATCCAACGTAGCTTTTGTGAAGCATTCATCTGTTAGCTCGTGGCATGGATGGATGAAGTCAGCTGGAAAAAATAATAAGTTATCTAGTACTTCTTTGTAATAAACTTGGATAATAGTATCTATGTTATAATCAGAACATTGATAATTTCTAAATCTAATTGAAGAATTCTCGAACTGACGCAAAAATAGAATCAAATACCAGGTAATATAATTTGCTTAAATGTTTGTTGAATTTTAAATAAGTAGGTATTGTATTAAATTGCGAAAGCACCTTGACTTTTAAAATAGTATTGGAATAAGACTAATTTATACGTTTTAATAATTTCGAAATCTATAATCATTTTTTAAACTTTTAATAACAATAAATTTATTTATAATTATCAGACTCGGATCAGGTTTGTCATACTCGAATTATCGACCTTCAAATTTTTTGTTGTACTTGTCTAAGAATAGATAAATATAGAACTTCATGAATATAGAAAAGTGACTTCGTTAAAAGCAAATGAATGGCTAGAATCAGTATACAATATTCTATTCAAGAAACTCCAAAAGTTTGTTATGTATAATAGGTACATACCTTCCTAGCTATTAAGTATCTAAATAATGTTTGTGGCACTATCTTGGGACATTCAAACGAAAAAAACAACATAATCTGTAAACATTTGACGAAGATGATATAACCACGAATTATGACAAAATGTTGTGGAACATACAAAAAAGTTTATAGTCGAAACTTTTTATTTTTAAATAATGAAAAATTTAAATGTAGTGTGAACATAATCCGTTATGGATTTTCCTAAACACGCTTAAATATGGTTTTTATTAAACAAGTGGTGTGCCCAGAAATATAATAAGCAAGTATGCAATTTTTTTTTTATAAAAAAACTACATTCTGACTTTAAGAACGAGTTGTTTTTCCGTAATATACTCGTACTTTAGTATCAATTATTATTGCGTTATACTTTTTCTTTCCTTGGATGTTATATTTCCCATATACTTTTTATTAGTCATGTGATCTTGATACTTGTCTAGCTGATTTGTTCGTGCAGAAAATGGAATCCCAATCAGCATCCTTCCCGTTGCCGTGTTAGATTACGCTTTCAGTTTCAACATTTAATCTATAGATTATAATGGCTTAATTTATTCAAAAATTTAATTAATATAAGTTAACCAACATTATTGATAAATACGTTAGTAATAAAAATACAGCTAAAAAGATTTATAAAAGTAATAACTGATAAATTTATAGCTTTGGCTTTGAGTTAGATGATACCCCGTTCGCCTAACCCAAAGATAAACGTCTGAAGGGTTTTCCCTTCAGACGTTTATCTTTGAATAATAATAAAGCTAATCAGTTACTGTAGATATAAATACATCTACAGTAACTGATTAGCAAGTATACAAAAACTAATACAGGTTTGACCGTATACCGCTCAAAAAATTATTTTTATTTTTATTTATTTATTATTTTTATTCATTTTTAGTTTATTCAGTTTTGTGTCATTATTATGTTAGTAATAAAGTCTAATATTATACCAACATCGAACGATTGCGATCTATTTTTGTTGTAGAATGTCTGTGCATTAGCAATGGAATATTCCATATTATCTATGTAAATAAAATATAACTAACTAAAAACATTCATCGATGCGCGTGTGCAAAAGTTGTAATTAAAGAAAGGAGTGGTTATAAAACTCAAAAAAGGTTGTTGTCACAGGTCAAGTGCAAGTCGGAGTATGAACTCCTACTCGAAATAGTGAGTTATTGCAAAGGACATGTTAACTAAAAGATGTTAGGTAAGTTAGTTTCATTTCGGCAATCACCTCAATAGTAGACCATGAAAATGTCATGTCTCAACCCTATTGCATGCCCATAACGGATGGATACGCCCTAACAATCAGAATTATTCAGATACCGGCCATTTTAGGGGTGCGATCACCTAAATCCATAGCCAGAGATATTTCGTTTCATTCTAATATTTCGACACGTATTTTAATAACGACGAACAAATTATGAATTATGATTATGGATTTGACAGCAGTGTTACCAATTTAATCAGACATGTCAAAAGTAGTAAAATTAAACTATATATCGCCAAGATGTATAATTTGTCTAGAGACATAGATAGAATGTTAGACGCTCACTATCACGTAGATGGAAACTTGGTGGATTATATTTTACGACTTATAGTTATTAAAACAAGATTGATTATAAGTTTTTATCATTCGTTCGGTCATCATCGGGATCAGCAGATGTAGTTTGCCCAAATGCAGATTTATGACGTGCCATAACAGTTGGATTTTACTCTGCTGTGTTGGATGCGATTCTCTATAAGTAATGGTTTTTTCCGTTGCAATATTTAATCTGCAAAGTTGGAGTATTTACGAAACTACATTCAGCAATGCGTAGGTATATGTTTGGTTATCCGTTGGTAGTTACTCAATCTTGCCGTAACCACAAATGCAGTGTGTTACTTGTTGACCCACTAATTCTATATTGACTGCAGTGTCGAATTTCGATTCTTATCTATAATGAAATAGAGCTCTTTATTAATTTATATAATATATCTATATAGACCTATCTAATATATGAATCGTAAAACTTTAGACGTTTTTTCGAAAATTATACTCACAGAGATGTATGAAATTTGACACAGTTAACGTTTATATGCAGAAGAACTGCAAATTTGTTTTAATATTCAAACTTTATGGCTGAATTGTGACCGCTGTATTGTAATAATTATGGGTGTAGTCTTTTTCTAATACATTTTAGGATTCAATGGCTAAAGTGGGAATAAAAAACAACATATGAGAATATAAAAAGCAAATACTATGAGCATGAATATATCAAGCATATTAAAATTTGTTTACGTTTGAAATCAATATCATATAAATTTGATACTAAAAAGATTTATGTTTTTATATAATAACAATATAGACAATATATATTGGTCGTAAAATCCTTTTCAAAAACCTTTTCAAGAAAGCCAATTATGAAAATCCTATCTTGTTCAATTTCCATAAAATTGTTTGTTTGATACAAATAATAGCATGTTGCTAGAATAAAAGGCAAATTAAGTAAAGCCTCGCCTTAAATGTAAGTACTCACGCAAAGGTAACAATTGAAAACTGCAGTGGAATAACAAACTAAACACAAAAAGTCTTATTGGGTAGCCTCCGATATTGGCGGTTAATGACATTTTTGACACTTAAAATATGGATTTAAATCACAGTTATGACGTTCGTTGCATACAGCCGTCGGTATACTAGTGGCGCAAATGCTATGTTTAATTTGGTGTGATCATTAAGTTGAACTCAAGGATTTGTATTTAGTTACCACAGAGATTGTGCAAGCGTTCTGCGCTTTAGTGGTGTTAAGGCGGGTACAGATTATTCGCAACACAACATTGCAAGTAAGCAATGTAAATTTTCCGTACATTTGTTCGAGTTCACGAGAACATTGCATTGCATATGTGGTTCCCACTGATTGTCTGTTAACTTGTGATTTCTTTGATATGATTCTGCGAGATTCAAATAGATAAATATCTGGAATAATATTAAACCCATGAAAGATTATCGTCATATTGTAATAATTTTTTGGGTCCCAAATTTAAGAGCTAAGGTAGTTGGATTATATAAATATATAACAACGAAGATAATAACAAGACTCGATACATTAGAAATATTTTTTTTTACATTGACCCGACCGGCATCGAATTCAGGACCTCAGAAATGGCGACACCTTGAAACCGGCGTGTGAGACACTTGACCACGGAGGTTACACGCATTGCATGTTGAGTTGCAATGTAAATAATATAATATGTACTCGGCTTTACGGAAAAGATGCCGGTAAGAAGCATTGCGAGACTTTTGACCAGGTTTAGTGAGAAAGGACAAGGTGATATCTTGGATCTAGATTTATTTTTAAAGAAATTATTTTTATTTATTTTGAACACTAAATTGCATTGATCTAATTTGTTTGTTTGTGAGACCAAAGAGTTTGTAAACTATATTACTTTATTTTATATATACCTGTTTCAATGCTAAATAAGGGCGGTTATTTCTTATTTAGAACGTTCCGTTTGGGGTTTGCGAAGGTGAAGCGACTATCGCAAAGGCCGGTCATTGCATGGGGGACCAGAAAACATTTTATCTCAAGGACTTTTGGCCTTTAGAAGGCAAGTTAAACAGCTCTATCTAGTATGTTCAAAATATCTAAAATATCTTAAAAAGTCAAATGTTTGCGTGTTTGAATGGAAAACCTAAAACTGTTATTCCTTTGAATATAAATAATAAAAATATCTATAAACACCCACCAATCCACGCTGGGCCAATGCGTTGGATTAAAGTCCGTTTTCCTTTTTTAATTCCATCCATCGGCAATGCCTTTGCCTCAGGGGATATTAATAGTCAAACAAATAATAAAAATAACAACAAACATGTTATTAACATATTACTTATCATTTGTTGCAGGGTCATCATCACCAGCCATCCTCACTGCTGGGGCTTAGTCCATCCCTGTGGATGAAATCAAATTTAATCGGATAGGGAAAATGGGTAACCGATCAAGAGGGCGACTCTTGCAAAACTTAACCGTATTGCAAGCCGTGGTTATCTTTACTATAGTAAATACAATGTTACGGTCATAATGAATGATCTTTATATAAATTGAACGAAAGCAAATTCACACGGTGGTCAGCCATTGTGCAAAAAAGTGTACAAAAGCAAATAATAGCCTTTGTGCCAGTGTTGGTGGATTACCCCCTTTATGTGGTACAAAACCTGAATCCCTTTATCGATGCCTAATGGTCTGATGAAAGGCAGGCCAAATTATAAAATGTACACAGTACGATATAATTTAGTTTCATTCAATCGAATAGTAATTTAAATGTAATACCTAGCATTTACATTGTCTATTTTCTTTAATATTGTTTTTTTTAACGTATTTTGTTATTTATTCTACTAAAGATTAATTCAGGCAACTGTAAGGCCTATATCAGAAAAAAGCGCCCTTCGTATGATTCCACCTATTGCTGAGACAAGGGTCCATCTAGGCCTCGTTTTTCATTATTTCCTTATGTACCTGTTTTTGATAATTAAGTAATGTGCGGTCTATAAATTTCTTTATTTCTGATATAAACTAAAAGTCGTCGAGTATATATTCATATATAGTTTTTGCTATATATAGTGCGTTTTGAAAATTCTAGTTATATTATAACGGTTTTTTATATGTTTATTTGAATTCTATACCTTTTGTAAGTATATATTTTATTTATTCAAACTAAAAATTATAGGTATTTATCGAATATTTTATAAATATTTTAAAAAATCAGAAAAGAGGCGACTATAGTACGGGAGTCAACATATTAAAGTACTTAAGTCATTAAATTAGATGAACAAGTAAGTATAATGCTGTGATCGTCAAGTTAATAACAACATGTATCTGCCTATGCCTTCTGTGTTATGTGTCAGGGTCAATCTTTGTTCGCATTGATTGTCTTGGGACTGGATGTCATCATTTTGTTATTAGCGCGGGTATACTGTATAAAATTGCTGATGGCAATTTGAAAACAATTATTGTATATTTAGTCTATGATATTTCTACTTATAGGCACTTTAAATACATCTCGTCCTTTGTTGTAAGTATTTTTTTTTGTTAGATCTTCATTGTTTCTTTACATTAACTTAAAGTGCCTTCCGAAGTACGAAGGAGCTCGTGAAATTAAATTTTTGGTCACCCATCCTATGTGGGATGGGTGAGTAAAAGTTTATGTCGAGCTCCTAAGTGCTTCGGAAGGCACGTTAAGCCGTTCATTCCGGCTGCATTTGCAATCTTTAACACCCACAAATTCGCACTGGGTCCGCGTGGTCGGACATTATTGTCCATTCTCCCTATTCGATTTGATTCGATTACATCCATAGGGAAGGCCTGAGCCCCAAACAGTAGGCACATTATTAAGCTGGTGATGATGATGAATACACAATAATAAATGATTATCTCTATTCGAATAGATTCTATCTAATTATTTGTGAAGCATTTTTTATTAAGAATGTTTTTTAGTAAAAAAAAAATCTGAAAAATAAGCTTAATAAGAAAATCTTAAGAAGTCCACTTTGTCCCTGGCACTCTGAGATGGCGCTCGAACCAATGACCTTTTGCTGTCCGGGTGCCCACAATACTAAACATTTAATTCACATATTAGCTATATATACCGGAAGGCGATTAACATATATAAAGGCTTAACTACATCAGCCAGATTAACATGGGTCCTCAACCAAGAGGTCATCAGGACAATATACGTAGTGGTTATAGAACAGATAATATTGTATTCGGCGGGCGTCTGGGGTAAAGAAGCACAAAAGATTAGGAGCAAAAAGGTATTAAATACATTGCAAAGGGGGTTCGCGCAAAAGATTGCAAAGACATATAGGACTGTGTCTCTAAGTTCCGCATTTAAATTGTCGGGGCTGCTTCCGCTGGATCTCAGGATCCAAGAAGCATCCCGGCTTTATGAAGCTAAGCGCGGGAAACTCCAGGCAATATTAAGGGGCAGGAAAATAGAGGAGAGAGTTTCTTTGTTGGAGTCGAACCACCCCGGCAGCCTCAGTATGATAGAGTATGAATGTTTGGAGAACGCAGAAAAGAATGGTAAACTAGCAGAAGGTCTTGTGAAGATCTATACAGATGGCAGCAAACTCGAGGGTAAAGTCGGTGCAGCCCTTACCTGTTGGAAAGGGGTTGTTGAGATCGCTTCCCGGAAGTTTAAGCTGGTGCCATACTGTACAGTCTTCCAAGCCAAGCTGTATGCCATCTTCCAAATCTAAGTATGAATAGGCACTCTCTACAATCTAGCATTAACACACAACTTAGTAGGCTAAATCTGGAAAAAATCATAACAAACGGAGAAGAAAGCAATTAGATCTGTATAAAGAAAAAAAAAAAAATAAGCAAGCTGTCTTTTATAAAAACATAAAAGACAGCTTGCTCAGAAGTGGGGGAATCTTTCAAGCACTTGTTACTTTTTCGCTTCTACAGAGCGAATTTTCATCAATGTACAGGCAATTTCCAGGTCATGGTTTCGAGTCTCACAGAGTGCCAGGGACAAAATGAATTTTAAGCATTTTTCATTATAAAAATTTAAATATTTGTAAAAATATTTCTTTCGGCTGTTTGGGTGGAACGTTTCTATATGGACCCGACAGGGAATCGAATAAGAGACCTTGAAACTAACCGGCGTATTGTCACTTTACTATGAAGGTCGTGTTAAGGTATTCCGATTCTATTTTTTAAAGGGTTATTTACTTTCAATAATAAAGGGAAAATTTAATTTTGGTACTAAATATATGCTTTGTGAATTAGTGGACAAAGGCAGTATTAAAAGGGCTTGGGTGTAATGGACCATGAAACTACTTTCTCACGCATACTGTGAGTGTATGATGCATTCATCGATGTAATGCTCATTACACATTATGTGATTAACAAACAGATGATAATTTATTAACATTACATTGATACACGAAGCAAAAAGTTTTGATCTTTTTACGAGAGATTTTCGCTGTCGGAGGAGTTTGAAATTTGGCACATAATCTTTAATAATAAAACCACAATAATGTTAAAGTTTATGGTCAAATTTTGACCAATTCGACGACCACTAATAATTTTAATGGTTTATTTTTCAGTTCGCAGTTTTTATGGTAGATTGTTGGTTATATATTTTGAAGACAGGAGCTGTAGATAATTTAGATTGCTAGTAAGAATTGAAAAGGCTCTATGATAGAAATTTAATAAAATGACTCGTAATATTTATTAGTGTCGTTATAGAGTATAATCGACGCATGCTAATAGAAGAGGACGGTAATAGAAACAATAAGTCGCGATGATAAAAAATAACCAGTACACGCCTAGTCTTAGTTCTTAATGAGGATTAAAACTAAAATTAAATTGTTTAATTGGCGCCCAACTTGGAGCTCCATTGCGACACTCTTTGCTTAAAATTCTTACGTACAGGTTACTTATGATTAGTTTTAAAGTTTTTATTAAATGTGGAATATTACTAATAAACTGCATTAGTTCTTTTTATTTTCGTTATTGTCGATGAGTAAAGGATGCGTTATATTACTAATACCTAAATCTAAATCATATATCTAATTATTTTTTATAATTCATTAGTTCAAAAATTCAAAAATGCTTGTAATTTAGATTTTTTTTTAATCAAAAAATATTATTTTTCCTTCAGTACACAGAAATTATGATAATACATTCAACGTATTAAA